CTCTGCCCCACCTCAGAAGCCCTCCCTCCCATTCACCCAGTGGTTCTTTCTGGAAACGCAGACGCCTCATTCGTCCTCACTTTCCTGTCTGATCAGCTCTCTAGTCCTGTGGACTGTCTATGCTTACGTGCATTTCTTTTCCTTTCTGCTGCCACCACCTGAACCTTAGGAATGCTTCCAGACATGTTTTTGCCCTTCAGCATGCAAGGAAGCACTCCCTGTCTTCCCCTTCCTCTCGTCGGTCCTTCTGCTTTTCTACAAAGAGCAGCGCACCGTGTACGTCGTTCTGCACCTTCCTCTCACTGAACAGTGCAGAGTGGTGATATATCTAAAGCTTAAATCTGATCATCACACACTCCCTTGCTTAAAACCTGTTTTTGGCTTGCTGTGACTCTCAGAATAAACCCCAAGTTCTTAATATGGTAGCCTACAGGCCACATAGAGTCTCCAGAAATATTTTGTGTTGCTCACAGTGTTTCACAGAGTAAGAATTCATCTTTAGACTGGCCATGCCCTATTCAACTTGCTACAGACCCCGCACCCCATATTGTGCTAACCTGCCCCCCATCACTTATTTTTGTGCACTGCCCTGCCCCGCGGGCCGTGGGGGCTGTGCCCCCTTCCTCTCCAGCCCAGCTGCAGCCCCTCTCACCTTCTCTCTCTGGCCCATGAGCCTTCTTTCTGTTCCTTTGGTGCCCTGAGCTTCCACCACCTCAGCACACCATGCAGATGGCCAGGCCGCCGTGCTTGTCTCTGCATTGCCTTGTCCTCCCTTCACACCTGTCTGAGCCTGTGTGCCCCTCAGGACTCACCCTCGAGGTCACTGCCTCAGGGATGCATCCCAGATATATGCTTTCCTGGTACCCTGTTCTCTCTCAGAGCACTTACCACACCTGTCGTAACTGTGTCCTGTCCATCCTAAAATGCATCTGTTTGTCACATTTCCATCTTTCTGAAACTGACATCTTACAATTAGTGGTAAACTAATGGGAATTTCAATTTGATGAAACTGAGTAGATCTTTCTCTGTAAAAACCCTTGTTTAGTACCTGTCTCTCTCACTAGTGTTGCAGGGGCGCAAGGGCCGGACTGTGGCTTTCTTGTCCCCCCTGTGTCTGCAGCGCCAGCACTGTGTTAGGCACGTGATAGCTACTCACTGAGCATTTATGGGCTCCATCAATGGACAAGGCGGTAAAGTAGGACTTTGTGTTATGGATCCTGCATTTGTCTCTCACAGTGTTTTAGTCATCCAGTGACCATGTTCTTTCTTGGCTGTATTCTTTCAGGCTTTGAGAGTTTGCCCTCTTCCCCTTAATCTTTGTCATGCAGACTGGAGAGGTTTTGTCAGCTCCGTCTGTGTGTAGAAGCTTTTTGATCATATCAGCTAGTCATCTCTGGGCCCTTTGCAATTGTCTGTAAGGCAAGCTGTTGAGTTGGGATGAGTGTTTGCTGACTCATACCCTGTCCCCTTTCTGATGATTCCATGTGTTTGGTCAGTATTTTTGATGGTGGGTCCAATCAGATTGGTATTTAGGAAGAAGAATCTTCTGTGTCCTTTACGTCCTGCTTTAAAAACTTAACACTTTATAGATCTCTAGGGTCCCGTGGGAGTGTGCAGGAGCTCTGCCAGACAATTTAAAGATCACATATGGTTCTTTTCATGAAAATTATTCATTCCTATTCTTACCTTTTCTTCTCTCAGAATTATATGATCATTTCATTCAATAGGACTGCATTTATTCACAGGTGCAAGAAAGGACCATGTCAAAGGTAGACTGTCGAGTGCAGGTACTCCTACCTGCATCTTGGAAGCATATTACATTTGTTTTGAGTTGTGTGCTTGAGAAGAAAATAACAGGACAGAGAATAATTTTATTCCAATCATCCCCACTCTTATATCCCCTAAATGCTATTATTATTATCATTAACTCAGATTCCATGTATCTCAGATCATTATAGAAACTGGTACAAATTTTTTTTATTACCCTTTTGACATTGATCATTAAACTTTCAACAGCTCATTGGCCGCCAAATTCTTTGGTTTAATAAAATGGTTACATGACCTTAACAGCGTTTGAAAATTGATTCGTTAGGTTACTTTCCAGGAGGAGCACAAATGAGAAGTCAAAATTTATCATTTATACTTAGAGTAATTATTTGAATTATTTTCCCACAAAGGGCATTATATTCCTCTTTCCAACAGGGAAGCTTCTGGTCCATTTTCCTGCTCTCTTGCATGTGGATGACGTCTTCATTCCGCAGCCTCCCCCCATGCCTGCCTTCCTGTCAGTCTGGCATTTCCCAGCCCGCAAGAGCTCCGTGTTGCCTGAAAACCTGTGGGTTTCCCTCTGTTTTGTTTCTTCTGGGTTAGTCATAAACGGAATAAACGAGAAGGGTTCTCCCCTAATCCCTTTCAATGCTGCTGTTTTTATTTCTTATTTAAAAATACCAGACATGGTAAAACATTCTTCCTTATCTTTACCGACTTAAAAAGTAACAGTCTGTGTGCAAAGATTTTTTTTTAAGTCTTAAATGTAGGGGCAAATTTCATATTGACTACATGCTTTTGCCTCAGAAGTTGAAATTATGCATAAATAGCTATATGATACATATATATATATATACAAGCTCAAAACAGTTGTTGTAAAATGTCGTGAAATGTCCTTTTTATCTTTGAAACACAGCTAGTGAACAAGAGTCAGTGTAGGCATGTAGTCAGAAAAAAATACCCTGGAAACAGAAAGCTAAAGCTTCCAACCTAGCTGTGTTCTTAACTAAAGATATTATGCTGGGCAAGTTATTGGACCTTCTTGGACTTCTGTTTTTTTTTTTACTCACAATAAGAGAGGATTTGATTAGATCCATGATTCTCAATTCTGATTGTACATTAGAAGCACCTAGGGAACTTTTAAGAAATGTAGATGGTGAGGCCCTACATTGGTCTGATTTAATTTTTTTAAATCTCCCCATGAGTCTAATAAAACATATTATTTTTTTATATGTGCTGTCAGCATAAAACAAGGCCTACTTGACAAACTCAAGGGTCTTTCCAGGTCGGTGAGTCTCTTGTTGTATTTTTCCTCCCTAAGCCAGGATGGGCCATGCCGACCGCGCTCTGCAGACAGAGACGTCCCTTGGGTGGGCTCGTAGAATACCTGTGATTATGCAGAATGCTCTCTGGCTTGAAGAGTCATCAGTGGCACCCACCGAGCCTTGTGTGTCTGCACACGTGGCATCTACGTGTCCACCCAAAGCCTTCTGGCAGTCATGGGCCTCTACCATTCTTTCTTTGTAGCTGGGCACACTTGTCATGCTGTGTAGGAATCCTGGTGAAGGTCTGTGGCTGGGCTGAATGAGAGTGTCCAGCTCATGTTTCCCTCCCTGTGGTCTTGAACAGGTGGCCAAAGGCCATAGTTGACCTCTTATCACCCATCTTTTTGTCCGCCAGCCTTTTCAAATTTTTTTGGTCTCTAATTTCCTTTCCTTGACCACCCTGTAACCTTTCATCTCTGACTCCTGAAATTACCAATAAATACATTTTATTGGGTTAGTAGTTACTTAAAAAAATAATAATAGTTTTTAAGCATATTAGATTCTAATAACCTCTTATCCGTGGGTCGACATAGTGAGCATATGATATATATTATATATAGACTAACAACTAAAAAAAAAAAGAAAAACAAATTTCAAGGTTTCCCTCCTCAAAAATGTGTCTTACTTCTAGCTCTTTCCCCAGCCCCACCATCATCCCCTGAGGTCAGATCTATGTCCCTTCATTCCAGTCTCTTCTGTAGTGATGAGGATGGTGGCCATTGTGGATGGTAAGCCCAGTGATGAATACTGGCATCATCTCATTTAAATGTCACTAAAGGGGTTTAAAGATGAGGAAGCCAGAGCTCACAGAGTTTACCATCTAGGGAGGGGCCACCATGGATTTACCAAATGCTCCTAAAATCCTTAGGATGACCATTACAATCTTACCAAGGATTAAACTGTGGATATCCATGTTCCGTTCTTGCCCATGGCAAGGCCAGTAAACAGTGGAGTTGAAATCTAGGCTGTCTCTACTACCAAGCTATATTCTGTTACTACCACTGTCCTCAGTTTACAGACGGAGAAACAAAACCGAGGCACCCGGAGATTGAATGACTTGCCCAAGATCATAAAAGGCAGAGGCAGGTCTTTCTGATTCCGAAGCCCGAGGTGCAAGCACCTCACTCTGTTGCCTTCCCGTCTCACCTTATCCACTGCTGCTTCCTGTATGAAAATCAATCCTCACTCAAGCCCTCCCTGACTGATTCTTTTTTTTTCTTACTTGTTCAGCTTGGAAACAGGCTGTTCTATTTCCTAGGCCTGAAGTCTTTGGTTTATTTGTTGATTTGGACTTTAAAGGCCCTTGAAGTCTATCCCACCTCTCACCCCTCATTCCCACAGTGTCGAGAACCCATGCCCTCCTCCATCAGCCTGTTCCCCTTGCTGTCCCACCGACGTGCCAGACTTCTGTCTCCAAGTGGTTTTCATAGTGTTGCCTTCATCTCTTCAGCTGGTTTTTCTTGAATAGCTGCCCTGTGCTGACAGAGTCTGGTGAAATCCTGAAGGACTGAATCTACCTTCTCTGCATGGCTCAAGGCCACCCCCTCTGGACAGCCTCCCGTTCTCCCCCTTTTGCTCTGCTTGCCATCTAAGCTCCCTCAAACCCTGGGTGCGCTGTGGAGTTTCATTATGGAGTCTTTACGTCTTAAGTCAGAGTGAACTCTGTGATGGCAAAGATCACAGACAAACAATCCTGAGTCTATAGTAGCTGCTTAACAAATAGTTGTTGAATGAGTTATTAATGGGTGCAAATAATGCTTCCCCCCTCAAATCAAAATATTATTATGTTAATTCTGAGTCTAGAAAAACAAAAATTTTTAATGTTAATTTATAGGAATTTTCTTTAAAATGGTTGCTTAGTTTAAGTGCTAATAAAACTGATCTCTAAAATGATTGTTGTTCTCCCAGTAAATGTTCCCTCAACCGTGATGGAAGCCATGTGCAGACAGGATGCCCTGCAGCCATTCAACAAGAGCAGCAAACTGTCCCCCACCACTCAGCAGCGCTCCGTCGTTTTCCCACAGACCCCCTGCAGCAGGAACTTCTCTCTCCTGGATAAGTCTGGGCCCATCGAATCAGGTTTTAACCAAATCAACGTGAAAAATCAGCGAGTCCTCGCAAGCCCGACTTCCACAAGCCAGCTCCACTCAGAGTTCAGTGACTGGCATCTCTGGAAATGTGGGCAGTGCTTTAAGACTTTCACACAGCGGATCCTCCTACAGATGCACGTGTGCACACAGAACCCCGACAGGTAACCCCGGCTTCCACTGCTCTCTGTGAGTTTGCTTAGCGAGACAACTGCTTGTCTTCCCACCTGGGGGCCAGTTGCCTTCTGCAGCTGCACCTCATGGGAAACCCTGTGATAAGAGGTGTCCACTTTCTGGAAGGCCAGAGAGTAATGTTAGGCTACTGCCTGGCATTATTGTTTAGATGGGCTGCACAAACAGTGCTCAGAGGCTGCAGAGAGGAATCTGTGCTTGTTTGCCAAACAGTTCTGTCCAGGTCTAGAGGGGAGCAAAATAGAAGGAACATTTATGAATATCATAAATGGAAAAATTAAGTCAGGATCATTAGAATCCTCTCTGTCTTCCAAAGATAATAGAGCTGGCTGCTCTGCTGCTGTCACAGTTTCAGGGTTCACCTCCAGTGGGCTATGGGTATGAACTTAATTAAGTACTCAGAGGTAATGAATTGGAATTTTTTGCTTAGTACTATTTTTCTTCAGAGCATGCAAACCCATAAATCCTGCAAAGCTGTCAAAAGGAAATACCTACTCTGCTAGTGATGTGGAGGAAAACAGATGCCACTTATTCAATAAACTAATATCCACACAGAAGAAAAATGTTGACTAGATACCTCAGAGTCAAAGTTGGTTTGAAAGTTTGTCAATAAAGAATTTTATGGCCATGAACTGAAGATGAAATTTAGCTGAACAAGTGAATTAAAATTTCAGGTACTCTGACGAGTGGCACAGTAGATATAATGGAACTATTATTTATGAATCAAAACTGGTTTATTTGACAGTCTTGATATCTGGGAGTGCAAAAGACAAAAATCAAAATAATTCAGTGAGAAAGGATTGTGTTTTATCTCTCCTTCACGTCTTGTGAATATTTGGTTAAACTCAAAATAGGTAATAGCTTTGAAAATGCACTTTGAATATAAAAGCAGAAGATGAGTTTTGGAAGTAGGATGGGAGACTCAGAAGCAGGACTCCTGAATTATTTTCTTAATTTGGCTTAACCTTCAGCCACTCAGCTCTCCGTGTCTTATACACCGAAGCTCTCCACTCCCATCTCTGCAGAATAGGGTGCTAGAAAACCCAGGTCAGGATAGAGAGGATGGAGGTGCAAGGAGGGTGGATATTTTCTAACATAATAGTGATCCATTTTAGTGTACATATGCACATTTGCATGTGTATGTTTCCATTTGTGTCATTTTAGAAGTCATTCTCTTAATGCCAAGCATGGTAGCTGATTAATGTTGAAACATTTGCATTAGAACTATTGACAGCAAGTATGTCTACAATCTTTCACCTTCAGTAGGAGAGCCCCGTAGTGAAAATCACCAGATTTATGCACATTTTAGACTAGTGGCTTTGGAGGTGAAACAAACTTTTGAAAGTATTTTCCTTACTCAGGATTTTTTGTGTGTGTGAAAGTTTGCCTTCCTTACAGTTATACATGTAGCCTCAAGATGTATCTACTCAGTTTGTAAAACATTTTAGTAGCTTTTTAAAATATAAAGTCTGCATTACAATCATTTTATGAACTTGTTTTTTAATTTGAGTGAGTTCAGATGCATGAATCTGTTGTTTGTACAGACTGGTTGCCATCATAAGTGAACACGCAGAGGTGAAATGACATGATTGTTGCAAATTCCCAGATCCCGGAACTCACAGCTTAGGTTTGAGTATGAGAGACCCTAATGGGCTTATTTGACTCAGATGCCCAAACCAAGTGTGATGTGGCCAGGCCTTTTCAGATGAGGTGAAGTAGTGAGTGCTTGTTACCTAGCTAGATAAGATAGCAGAGTGGGATCACATCACCTAAGCAGTAGGTTCTTACTTCTTTCCCTGTGTTGTTTTGGTGAAGACTTGAGAGGTGGCCATCATTTTTGATGAATAAATCAAAACTAAGAGTTGTGACTTCAAAAGAAGTAGTTCCTTTATAGGCAAAGTAATACGGCCCTGTGACCTTGGAACAATGTGAGGTTTAGGGGTACTATGCCCCTGTGCAGTGGAAAATCTGCATATAATTTTTGACTCCCCCAAAACATTACTAGTAGCCTGCTGTTGACTGGAAGCCTTACTGGTAACATAAACAGTCAATTAACACATAGTTTTAATGTTCCATGTATTATATACCATATTCTTATAATAAAGTAAGCTAGAGAAAAGAAAATGTTTTCTGAAATTGTCACAAATCTCCAACAGAAGCTTTTCCAATTTATTTTTTTTAAATTGTGTATGAGTAGACCTGTGCAGTTGAAACCTGTGTTGTTCAAGGGTCAGCTGTACAGTATTTCTTAGTAAAGACGGGAGATGCTTGAATTGCTCCATCACAACTGAATTGATTCTTGGAGAAATGGGGAAATAGAAGGAGATGCCCATGAACTTTGAACCTACTAGTTTCATTCTAGATACCTAGTTTGCTTTTATATGTGACTGGAAATTAACTTTTTTCTGTTTCTATCAGCGAGTTTGGAAGTAAAAGATACTCTTGAGTAATTCTTAATCACATGGCTGAATTGCTAAATAGGAGAATACAGAATTAAGATGGAACTAAATCTGTTCATGATAGTCAAACAATATGGAGCCCTTTCTCTTATTATCCATGTGGGGAATTACAACTGCTAAATATATAAATTTTCTTTAGTGATTGACTTCATAAATCAGCTGGCTTTTACTCTTTGGAAGTTTGTGGCCTTTCAGCCACATACAGTGAAAAAGCTTAGAACCAACGAGTCAGAAACCATCTCCCTAGTAAGGGAAAAACTCAAATGCCTTTATTTTGATAGGAAAATCTTGCTAGAACCAGAGGCAAGAAAGAGACAGACAGAAGACACAATCAGAAGGTAAACAGGTTAGAGTTTGAGACAGGTCCAAATTTGAAACAGGCCCCTAAAACTTAGGTCCAAAAGATTTTTAACTCAGTGAACTGAATATTTGGCCATGAAACCCAAGACATTTGAACCTTCATCAAAGAGACTATGTGTGTCTAATATTCATAAGCTTTTTCATGTGAGGGACCATCAAAAAGTCTGTGCCTTGATACAATGGAAAGAGATCCAAGCATTCACAGGGTTGCCAGCATCACCAGTTTTTACTACCATGCTATTTACACTGAATGCAGAAAAAATTCCATTTGACCTGGCAAGGTAGGCATTAACACTCGAGACAAAAACACATCCATGAGGGGCCAGGAGTCCCTGCATTGTTGTTTCTTGATTTTTTTCCTGTTAATATGAAACAAACCCAGAGATATCTTTTTCCTTTTTCTCAGACTGCTGTCCTTTTCTTTTCCTGAATGAATTTAAAGGGAAGAAGCTGTTGGAGTCTAGACCAACCAAGATTTTATTAAGGACTCCATAAACATTTGGGGTTTTGCATAAGCTTATGACCTAGGCCAGGCTAGCTTGAATCACTTTTGTTTGAACCAGGAGTTAGAAATCCCTTTTCTCTTCTGTTTTTCTGCTGCAGAAACTCTCAACAATCCCATTGGGGGGGCTCCAGAAAGGGGTAAGCAAAGACTTCAATCACAGTGGATTATTTTCTGATGAATATACTCTCTTTTGTTTTCTGCAGAAAGTGTCTTTTTAATGCTTATCTTTATTTTGCACCCTCTTCCTTTTTTTTGCCCCCCTCCTTTTTGATTGTTTGTGCCACATGGGGAAAGTGTACCTTTAGCCTCCTGGGCACACTATCAGCTGGTCACATGTGTGTGTTGAGTGTCATTGCTTGTAACTGGCCACGGTGGTACCAGAGGGGAAGATGACTCTAGAAGGTACTATCTGGTGGGAGGAGATAATCCATTATCATAATAGTTTCTTTGGAATGTGTCAGTATTCTTGTATCCCACTGTCCTCCCTCCCCCAAGTGTGAAGGTTATCTTCTTTCTAGAGTTCCATGTTCTCTCCAGGACCTTTGGCTCTGCTTTTGTGCTGCTGTCCTGAAATCTTTTTCTCCTAACATAGAGCTCAGTTCTTTTCTCACTCCACGCAGCCAGCAGTGACCTAAGGCCTTTTGAAGTCTTGGGAGACTTGCACTCGGGCCGACTGATGTGGGGCAAGGAGAGAATATGGCCCCAGCTGAACAACTTCTGTCCTGGAGGCTTTCATGCCACGAAAGAAGAAGCAAAGAAAGATGAATAATATTGTAAACCAAAGCACACTTAATTTTGTTAAAGGTTTTATCCTCTTCCTATGTGCACACCAAGCCAATTACAGACTCACAGGAGATAAACTGCATATTTTATGGGAGTATCTCTGGCAGAGGGGCTGCCAGTTACAGAGAATGCTGGGGAAGGGATGACGTTGTCTTGCTGCTTTCTTTCTGTTGAAGAATTGACCAGCATGGATACGTGCTACATAAATTGCCCTAGGCTTTGTCTATTTTTCAGTTATTTCATTGTTGAGTACGGAGCACCTTCCAGTTTTTCACAAAGCTTGATATTTTGTGTTCCAACTAGCCACCCCTGGCTATTTCCATTTAAATTAATCAGAGTTAAGTGAAGTAATACTTCCATTTCTCAGTTGCCCTAGCCACGTTTCAAGAGCTGAACAGTTGCATGTGGCTAGTGGCTCCCGTATTGGGTCATGCAGATGGTTGATCACTGGATACCGTTGCTGGATGTCTCCAGCAGTAACAAATAGCTGTAAGCTGCTTCTGGTTGTGAGATGTCACCACTCCGTGAGGAGTGCTTGCTTTTGTTCTGGGGCTTAACCGAATGCTGTCTGTGTATGATGACTTGGGGAGAATCAAAGCGCTTTAGAAGGGAGATTCCTACATTTAGTGATTCAGTGACATGAGATCCTGGAAGGAGTAAAGGTAAACACAGCACTTGAGGTCAGGCCTCCCAAACTTCTGGTATGAAGACACATCAAAGGGAGTCAGAACTTTGGAGTTGAAATTGATCGTATCTCAAAGTTTAGTAAAGTTGGTCTTATCTCCTGGCCAGACCTTGACAAATGAATGAGAATGTTAGTCATCAGAATAAAAAGCTGAGTAAAGGCAACTGACTCTGGCCCCAGAGCCTCCAGCTGCAAACTGAGCAGTGAGGAGTTAGGGTGTCCTAATAGAAACCTGCACACAGAGTCTTCACTCCTGGGGCCAGCTTTCCTGAAGGAAGTTTGATGTCTGAGGTTCCACAGCAGCCATATTGCTTTCTAAGCCCTGCTTCTTGGCCTTGAAGATCTCATTTTGTCTGTAATGTATCCCTATGTCCTGAGATGAGACCCTAGCATGCATGCCATCAATGTTAATTACTTTGTGATCATTTCCTTTTATTCATTTTTTAGGAACTATTGAAAATCCAGGAAAAGAAGGAATCTTGTCTACTTGCTGTGTAACTTTTATGCTTTCTGAGGGCTAACTTTCTATAAATTTCTTGGCTGAGAGAGACAGTCTGCTCTAGTGGCAAGTAGAGCACTCATTTTAGTTCTAAATGCTACATAAAATCAGCCTCTGCAAAGGTGAATGGGACCCTGTGGTCTAAAATCTTATGCCTCAAGGTACCTGAGGATGGAAGGATATCATTGTTTTTTGAGAACAACTAAAAACTAAGGTTTAGTCCTACATGTTGGGATGAGGTTTTCTTGTTGCTCTGAATTCTCAACTGCTAACTCAAGAAGTTTAAATGGTCCATGACCTATTAGCATGTGCACACACACAAATCCACAGAAGGCTCTGTGCACCGGAGACTGGCTAGCACCCGTGATGAGGGACATCACACTGTTGATGCCGTCTCCCGGCGGTGCTTTGAGAAGATCCGCAGGGGGCGCACGTCTGTGGATTATCTGGAAGCAGGAGCAGACGTGACAAGATGTGAGGGAGCTTCTGGTTGCTCATCCCCCTGACCAGAGGAATGAGAAAGGGGGACTCAGGGAAGTACAATGACTTGTCCAAGTCCTACAGCTGGTGGAGGTGAGAGGCTGAAGCAGGACTCACCTCTCCCGTCTTCCCTGATCTAGGCCTTTCCTTTCAGTCAAGCAAATTTTGGGAAACTTTTAAAAGCTGTGCCATAGCCACTGGGTACCCAGCAAACACTTTTTCGGCTGGTGCTGGGATCCTGTTGCCTTTCACGGTTGTTAGCTTGATAGAAGAATTCAGCACAAGCTTCTCTCTGGTCATTTCTGCCCTTAGGTGTGTAAATCTTTTCCACTGTGACTGTGAACATAAAAAGGATGGATTGACTTCTGACTATAGGAAATAAATCACCTGAACTTTTGACAGCAGAATTAGAAAAAAAAGAAAAGATTAATTGGTTTTATTTAGTGGCTTATTGTTTATTGTGATAGCTATTAAAAATAGATAACCAGAGGCTAATAACTGTTAATGGTCCCCTCACTATTAAAAAATCAATTGTCAGTGGGTATAGCATATATTTATATATTATTTTATTTCTAATTTTCAATAACATTTTAAAAAATTCACCCCTGAGAAAATTATTTCTTGAGGAACACTTTAAGTTTCATGGTTACCACAAAGACCTTGTTTGGCAGAAGAACATTTTTATCTACATACAATTTTATTGGCTTTCCGAGCATTATTTTATAATTGTAATAAAATGCATGTGTAATTTGTCAAGATCGATAAACTCCTTACCAAGGACTCTTATATATTTCTTTGAAACTTGTTTGAGAGCAGTTAAATAGATTTCTAAATGCAAGTAATTAAAATTGTATAGTATTGAGTTATTGATCACTCCTGGACTATTAATCAAGCTAAAAAATTCTACAATCAGTGCTCAGTGTGCTGCAGCCTGGTAAAATAATAGTATTTGTGTTCAGTGAGGCAAGTAGCCACAATTAAGCACTTCACTTGACAAATGAGAGGGTACACTTTATTTTGTACTTAATTGAATTGTACATGCTGGCTCACTATTGTCTCCCAGCCCTTGGTTTTGGTTTCTGATCACTGGAGCTTATGCATATGTTAGAGGTAGACCAGTTGGCTTTCTAATTACAGCCAGGTCTGGGCCACAACCCAGGGCTTTGTAAGCACTGTTCATATCCCTCATGACAGATTATTAATTTTCTTAACAAAAATGTTGATAAACAAATTAGAGGCCTGTCAAAGAGTGATATGAAATAGCTTTGAATAGGGAAAACTCCCCATGTTTTCTATCACTCACCAGATTCTGCTTAAGTAAGCAGAAGAACTTCTGTAGAGGACAGAATTTTAATCTATTTTATGAAAACCAAAAATTGATTTACTTTTCATGAGCTGGAAAGAACGTGCTCCCATAGTCTTGCTAATTATCAGGTATTTGTCATCACAACTTTCTTCCACTTGCTTTTTGCTTCACAGTCCTCCTACTGCAAGCGTAGTGACAGCCCGTCATTTCTGTGCTGCTAAAAATCATCGCTGGCTAGCAGATTTAACTGGGGAGTGAAATTCAAGGAAAAGATCCGATGGATAAATATTAGTCAGGGCTGGGGGAAGAGTAACTAGCACTCAAGATATCCTTACCAAAGACACCAGTCTGGGTGCACACCTGTGTTCATCTGTGTACTAGCAGGGAACCCCAAGACAGTTTCCTATTAATTAAAACATGCAACCTGCTAACTTGCCAGTGTGTTTACCTGGCTTTTAGAATAGAGTCCAAATACCCTGGAGTGACCTTAGTGTCAAGAACATATTTCATCTGAGGAAAGTTCATCCTGTTTTCTAAACTGACAGGGACAACTGCTTTCCCTGCCCCAGAGGATCATTGTAAAGATTAAGCTAAATCATTGATTGTAAAGCATCTCAAAAAGTTAAAAGTGCTGTGGAAAGATGAAAGTCAATTACCAGTTTTCTCTTGTGACATTCTACTCCATCAAGTCTGTCCTCTCAATGCTCCCAGAAGGACCCTAGTATATGCCTAGGGGTGGGAACAAAAAACAGGGACGTAGAGGTTCCTAAAATGATATGGTTAGTATTGGACAAGAATGTTCTTTTGGGAATAAATGTGTTTTATCAGCTCTGTGAATTTTGTTCCTGCAACAATAAGTAAATTAATGGGAACCCAGTGGCCCAAGCTCTATATTCTGTTATAAAACCTGAGCAGGTGCCACCAGAAAGTTTTGGCCCCTGCCTCAGGATGCTGATTCCCACTGCCTACCATAGAAGATAATGACCAGGCGGCTGCTTTCTCCGTTTCAGGCCCTACCAGTGCGGCCACTGCTCCCAGTCCTTTTCCCAGCCTTCTGAACTGAGGAACCACGTGGTCACTCACTCCAGTGACCGGCCGTTCAAGTGCGGCTACTGTGGCCGTGCCTTTGCTGGCGCCACCACGCTCAACAACCACATCCGAACCCACACTGGAGAAAAGCCCTTCAAGTAAGTAGCGGCCAACCCTCGGTCCCCTCTTTCTCTCAGCCTTTTCCGAGAGCTGGCCGACGCATCTGCACAGCCCTGCGCACTTCAGCCAGCTTGTGGAGAAGGCTCTTTGGAAGTCTCTGTCCAGGCTGCAAAAGGACCTGCTTGTTTTGGAGGCTGACATTTGGAAGATGGACTCAGGAACCCTATATGCTGATCTTGGCTCAGGTGCTGCAAACATGGACATGAGACAGTCTGTCTGAGTCTGTTTTCTCATCAGTAAAATGGAGAAGCAGGAGTAAGTCATTTTGAGAATCTTCTGGTTCCTGAGGGTCTGTCTTTCTAGAATGTGAGTGTTATCTTATAGTCGCCAGTAAGTCCACGGACACCAGCAAGGTGGCCCCCAGGTTAGGACATCTGAATAATCGTCTCCTGGGGAACTTGAACCCTTTGGGCTTCTGGTGAGCTATCTCCTCCTCTTTTCTACATGTTTGAAGTTATTATAGCAGCCAACTCAGCAGCTTTTCTGTGTGCCCTTTAGATCTCAGAATTACCATGTTGGTGGGGAAAAAATATGCACACAACTGAACACAGGGCGTGGCTGAGTCCTGAAAGATTCCAGGAATGAGGAAAGAGGTGGAAGTGAATCCCAAGGGCTTTGGCAAGGCAGGGCCACCTGAGCAAGAGAGTGTGTTTCTAGACAGAGCGCAATCACAAGGAAAACAGACATCCGAGTCATGCAGGGTGGCCTGTTCATCTACTCGCACATTCATGTGTGTGCTTGTTCATTCAACAAACATTGAGCACCTGCTTTTGTACTAGGCACCCTGCTGGGCACAAAGATACAAAGGTGAAAGATACAGTCTTTGAAGACTTTACAGTTTATGGGAAGCCCAATTAATAAACAGGTATTATACCATAGGGTGAAAAATGCAAAAGTGAGGAATGCTAAGACATGTACATACAGTGTTACAGGATAGCATGGAAGTGGCATAGTCAGTGATGTCTGGGAGAGATGATGTTTAGATGTGTTTTGAAGGATGAGTAGGAGTTTTCCAGACATACAAAGCACAGAGGCATTTGTGGCGGCCCAAACAGCATGTGGAAAGGCTTGGAAGGTGAATCAGCAGGTATGACTCGGTGGGTCGTTTCAAAGCAGTTTCTGCTGGCTATGTGATGGACTCCTTTCTGTTCAACCCTTTTACAACTCTTTACTCATTTGCCACACTCGCTTTCCCTTGCTTAAGAAGGACAATCAGAAGGGCCTAGATGTACAGCTTAATTACCTTCTGTAGGACAAGATCAGGCAAGAAAGGAAGTGATTCAGGCAGTAGGAGATGCCCTTGCTTAGGCTCAGACAAGGAGGCTTCCCAGAGGCTCAGGACCCACGGTTTTCCCTTTGGACCTGCTGGCATAGCACGGTGTCCCTGCGGTGCTCAGCCTGTGGCCAGGCTCAGCCGGGGGCTGGCTCCCCTCCATCTGCCAGCAGAGGGAGGCTGTTACCATCCCTCACCTCTCCATGAGTCGGTTACCTGTATTTATTATTCTTAACTTTTTTCCATCATGGCTTAATTTGTGATATTAATTAATAACAAAAGTAGTTTAAATTTGTGTCTGTGCAAGAGTACAGCTTGGCCACTGCACAAAAGTACCTGGCTAAGGGGACAGGCTGGGGTCTGAAGACAACCCTGTGCTCTGCCAGCCAAGCTCTGCCTTCTGGGGCTGCGACAGCCAACGGGGTCACTGTTTTCTGGTCCACCCTAAGGGCAGACGGCTTAGCACAGTACCAGAGGGCCCTATCCCAGGTGTTTGGGTCCTGCCCAGTGGACTTTGCTTGGCCCACAAGCCTGACTCTCGAGGGTTCAAAAATTCTAGCTTCACCCCTCCTCTGGATGTGGAAAATGATGATGGCATGTACCCCATGCCTTTTCAGAAGCAGAGATGCAGGAGAACTGAGGATCCTTCTGGCCCTTATATTAGAGAGGGCAGCCAGCCAGACAGTGCCAGGAGTCAGATTGATTTCTATCTTGGTTGCTGTGTAAATAGATTTTAGTAATTAATTGAAGAGGTTTCAGGGTCAAAATGGGAAATAGATTTCTATTAATGTTAAGGTGTTACTTATGTGTAACCCATTGACTGTACTCAATTTTTTCCCCTTATCCTGTTTTTGTCATGTTTCCAATGCAGTTGCCATTTTAACTTTTAATTAATCAAATTAATACTTGAAAGGCTTCAGTAATTGTATCTTTTTCCTTTTTAGAAGTGTATTTTTTTGTGTGACCATAACCTAATTTCATCTGGGAAAAAAAAAAAAGTAAACAACCAGAATTGGCTGGATAAGATTCTGTGTGCATGTTTTAGTTCCTTCTTATTGTATGAAGGTGGCACATGCTATAAGGTTTGTTTTTTAACTTATCAAATATATATTCCCAGGGAGAATTGAGTGTATGTTCATTGTAAAAGTGCCAGAATTAAACATCTTCTAGAAAATGGAAAACGAAATCCTTTGATGTATACACCCAGATCATTCAGGATGGAACTATCCCAAGGAAGATTTGGGAACTTCTAACCATAGCTCATGGATATCCATCCCATGGACATTTGTAAATATTATGAAGACACCCTTTTATAAGCATACAAAGCAAACATTCAAAAACACTTTTGTTACAAATTAGTCAATAAAATGAGTTTCACCACAACAGTTAATTTTACAACTTCAACTAATGGGTATTGGCTTAAACAATGTTGCAAAGGAGGAAAAGAACCCTGTAAAGATGCACCACCCTAAAATGTACCCTTGGGCAACTTCCAAATAGATGCCCCAAATGGCTCATTCCCCAAATTATCCCACCCATGCAAGGGCCCAGAAGGCCTTCACAGGATTCTCAGGGGTGAGGCGAGCGGCAGCAGGGGAAAGCCCTCTCCAGCTTCTAAGATTTGCACTGAACTGTGGTTTTTGAAGGCACATCAAGATTACGGCTGTCCTGAGAAGGCTGGAGAAGATTTGGCAGTAAGAGATCAGTGAGTCATTCCAGGGTTTGCCTCTCAATCTAATTGGCTGGAAACCCTCTGAATGACTCCATCCCCCAAGCTTTAGGTGGGCCTCTCAGGTAACCTGTCTCTAGACTTAGAACTTGGTTTTTGCTTTATATCGTGAGACTGGAAGTCATGGAGAACAAGGAACAAAACAAGACATCATTTCTTGCAACAGCAGTTGCCAAGCACTTTGCAGAAGAGGGAGGAAGGGAGGAAGAAAGGCAGCTGGCAGTCTAAAACTTATCTTTACAGTGAGGACTCCTTTCTGCTCTTTCACTAAACAATCTCTGAAGATCTCAGGGAGACTGCTCCCTCTGCCTGGAGAATCCGCGTGAAGCTGCCTGACTGAAGCCTGGCTGAAGCCTGGCTTCAGAGCCAGGGAAGACCAGGACTGTGCAGAGGAGAGGTTCTTCTCTTCATCTTTGGTAGAAGCAGAACCTAAGACAGTTTGGCTCCGTATTAAAAAAAAATCCAAAGGCTATTCCAAAGAACGTCTAATATTTTGACAAGATCGAGCCAAAATCAAAGCAGATAAAAAGAGCACATCAGTAAATATTTATTGAATGCATGATATGTACAAAGCCCTGCTGCAATTTGGTTTAATTCAAGGACTATTTTTGTGATGCCATAGAAGCACAGAAAGAAAGAGTCTTGTGGGTTTCCTGTGTGCCAGAACTTGACATCCTTTGGTGCCTCTTTCAGTTTGAGGTGGTAATTGTTAAGCTCCCTGTGCCTGTAATCCAGTCAGTCATCCTGTGAAGTAAAGAATGATCCCAAATCTAAAAGGAAATCAAGTCTAATTACAATACCCATACAGGCAGGAAGGCAGGAAGGTCTTTGCTGGTGTGTTTGTCGACTTTCCACTTCGGCGTTCCTGTGGTGTCCCTTCAAGGCTTGACGTAGCGCGGTGAGAAGGATCTTGTGTCCCAGAGCATTTCTTGCAGGAGCAAAGACCATTTCTCTGCTCCTGGCTCGTTACCCACATCTTTCTCTCATTATTCTGCTTCACTTCATGAAGTCCATGCTTTGAAGTACCCAGGCCCCATCACTCAATTGCCATGCAGTTGAGGGTTAATTAAATGCCAGCCCAGTTTTGTCCATCTTGGACCTGCCAGATGAGTTTCGTCCTTCTGATGAGTTTCGTTAAATTATGAAAATAATTTATGAATTAATTTGTAAACAGTTTTTGTGTTACTAATTCTAGGAGCCTACTTTCCTCAAGAAGGGGAAATTCCCTGGGAAAAGGCTCTACACTAAGGTAATTTGGGACACATCTGCATGTGTTTTTATTCACACTTGGTGAGCAGATGGCATTAGAAATGACTATCTCACAAGCCCCAGAAATAGGACTTTGTGAATTTCCTGATTATTACAACAAATAATTCCAATAGCATAAATGTCTGTGAGGAATTTAGGCAAACCCTTGAGGAAAATATAACTCCCCTGAAGGTCTCTTTCCAACCTGGATGTGTGAATACTGCATGTAGACATAGCCTTTTGCCTTCTGTGAAGCACTTCCCACTTAGGAATTCTTTATAATCTCCTGCACAAGATTAGAAGTGCAAAAGCATGACACAGGTAAATAGTCACTCCTCAGCATTGCTGAAGCTATTCTGCTCTCTTTGCAATTGATTCTAGGGCTTCAGAATTTTTTTCAAAAAAGGAATATAATAATTTGAAAGTTTGTCAGGCAGTGAAAGGTAGTATATTCTGACACACTAATCCAGTAACTAATCCGTTTCCTAATAAACAATCAGCAATTCACTAACATGTCATCAGCACTTCAAGAGCTCTGGAGAGGGGATGAGCTGCCCATGGCATTAATGAATACACCAAAAATCATTAACTGATCAATACTTCTGAGTTATTTTCATTGAGCTGATAGGTCTGATACATTAAGGCTGACATTATACATTTGTCAAGATCACAGTGCAGTTTTTAACAGTGAAACAGGCTGCTAAAAATATTCCCTGAAAGACAATCGGAGGAATACAACTTCTTTACCCTGACACGTTCGGTGGGCAGAGGACTCCTGAAAAATCTCAAGCATGATAACCCTGTTCCGGCACCCCCAACATTAAAAAATGTGCAAGAATCCCCAAATGTGGATGGATGTGTTCTATTTTTATGGGTAATTACTTCCATGGCAGGGCACTTCATATAATGTACTAAAAAGGAGAGAGAGGGGGCTGCCCCCAGATCACAAGTCCTGCAGCACGGGGCCAAGCAGTGTGGACTTGCTCAGGATGGCTTTGCCACTGCCCCGGTGGGTACAGGGACCCAGGACCAGAGACTGCATCATTTGAAAGGGCCACAACTGTCTCTAGCAGTCCTGAGTACCTTTTCCTTCAAAGATGTGAGGAGAGGACAGTAAGGGGACAGCTGTGGTGGTTGCTGTGCTCCAATGGGTGCTCAGCTGGTGCTCCAGGCAGCCCATGCAAGCAGGGTGGGGACAGGAAAGCTGGTGCCATGCCCGGCTTTCTACAGTGTGTGTGGGTGACGTGCACGCACGCAGCCGTAGACATCCAGCCAGGACAACAGCTACCACAGAAAACCCAGAGGCTACCGCTGGTGTGTGTGTTTGCTTCTGCAGATTGAGTAGCCACTGAACTAGGAAGTGTGTGTTGCTTGGGATGGGGAGGGCCTGGAGTATCCAGATTAACTTTTTTTTTTTTAAGTTAAGGAGAAGAGGCATTTTCTCCTTCTCAGAGATACACCCGCTTAATTATGGCCTGCATGCACATTGTTTCTACTGCGCCTTCTAGAAAGATGAACTTCTTAAACCACACAAATGTTGGTGGATTCTGGGGTTTTTCTGAGTCCTCCACCCCAGTGCAGACACCTTTTAAACCCGAAGTCTGGCTGGGCTGTGATCCTGCAGCTAGCTTGTGCAGTAATAAAAAGCGGCCACCCACCCCCACCTCGCACAGTCTCTGCACACTAATGTACTGCTTCCTCTGGTTCCCAAATTCAGAGATGATCGCTCCTCAGCTGCTATGCTGAGGGGAGAACTCCTGATTTTAAATCAGCAGCAGGTGAAATTCTATTTGTCATCAATTTCTCTTTGGGGTTACGGAGCAGAAAACTGCAGACAAGCTGCTGCTTTGATGGCTCACTCCTAAAAATCTCTTTTTGTTCTTTATCTATTTGAACTGACAGTGATCAGAGCTGCAGCAGGACAGGGCTCTCTGGAGAAATCACCTTCCCCCTGCCTATTGACAGATCCCTCTGTTCTGCATCAGCCGGGCTTTGTCCCATCCCAGGCATCCAGGCCTTGGAAGGAGCCACCAATTAAACCTCTTGAGCCGGTAAAATCTGAAGCCACTTTGGAGTGTCTGTTCTGATTAGGCAGGATGAGAGGAAGCCCATCACCCTGCAGGCCCCGCTCCCCAGTCTCAATTTTCTCTCTTGCCTCCACCAGGTGCGAGAGGTGTGAGAGAAGCTTCACACAGGCCACCCAGCTGAGCCGACACCAGAGGATGCCCAATGAGTGCAAGCCAATAACCGAGAGCCCAGAATCAATCGAAGTGGATTAACTGATTGACTGGTTGGAATTAAACTGCAAGGAAAGTCATGATTAAATGTCACGGACACTTAAGCAAAACCAAAGATTTCCTCTGAGCAACTTTCAATCAGTCCCAGAAAACCAAAAGCAGTAATAAAATAAGTAAGATGTTAAGAGATATTGATCCTGGCATGGAAGTCAGACCAGGAAAGAGATTATTTATTTATGACTAGGGAATGAGACTTATTTCAGTGGACAACTGACCTGGGATGATTACCATTTCCTGTCCCACCACGTGTTTGCTTTGTTTCTAAAAAGCTTTTTTAAACTGTTATTTAATACCAAAGGGAGGAATTGTATGGGTTCTTCTGCCCACAGTTGTGACTATGAATGCGCAGGGACATTTTTCTCATTGCACCTTTTTTTAGTAGCATGAATCAGGGGGCTCCCCCTGTCCAGCCCTTCCTGCTGTTCCAGTATGACCTGGCCTGACGCAGCTGCCCCCTTGGGGACGGAAGAACCAGATGCAGAACCTTCCCCACGTCAGCACCATCTTCAGCCCTGCGGGCACTCCATTCCATGTTTTCCACACTCAGTTCTTGTGCACTTTCCACGCGCCTCCTTCCATCCAGCAGCCTGGTCTTGGCGCAGAAGAGGCTGGAAGAGGAAGAACATGGTTTAAATTTCAAAATTCAAGGGGAAAAAATGGGGAACTTACTTTGTCCTGTCAGGATTTCAGAAACATTTAAAATGTACAGAGCTTCATAATACAGTATATTGTTCCGAAGCAGCTAGTTGAGAAAAGTTTGTTTTCAGTAACATTTTAGCTTAAAAAAAAATAAAGTTTGTTGGTATGAGGCTGAATATAAGGTTTTGGGCTTCAAGGAATTTTTTTTTTTTTTTTTGTATCTGTGAAGGTGTCAAATGTCTGAGCAGAAATGGTGCTAAGCGACTCCGTCAAGGCAGTTTTATCTTTATTCCTGATACGGGTGAAGCCTGGAGGGGGCCCTTTACTCACTGCTGAGTGTGGGGGGAGCATTTCTGTAAAAATAAGTGAAAACAGCCCAGGCAAGGAAACATTGAGAGGAAGGAGCCGTGGAGAGGGCTGTGGTTAGAACAGACAGTCCAGAACAGCTAATTTGATCAAAAGGAATTAGCTTTTCATCTCTGGCCCTGGGAATGTTCTTCTCTCAAACTTAATCCATTAAAAGAGAAAGGATTATGTATGCAATGTCACTGTTTTCTGAGGGCAAGAAAAGTTAAGTATACCTTCATCTAGCCTTTTGGCAGTTCAACAGCGATGCTCAATGAAAGGGGGTCACAGTCCATGAAATGATCCCACATTGAGGAGAGCTGACAGCCTCTGCCTTCACTCATGGCTGAGATGAGTGTACCTCATTGGCCGGCACAGGTAAAGCTCAGCGGTCTGGTCTAGAGCGCTTAACAGCAGCAATCTGGGTAGATTTCTTGGGCACAGGAGAGCAGGACCCAGCCTTCTAAAGAAGCTCCTTTGTCTTTTACCCTTACACTGTCTTCTCTTAACAAAAATGTGAGACTCTTAACTGAAGTAGCCATCAAAAGGCAAGGACACTGTGTTTCATTTTAATCTATTATCGTATGTTTGGTTCATAGAAAATTTTCCTTCCCTTATAATTTGCTTTTGTAGACCCAAGAAGCCAACTGCCACATTTAAAAAACAGGGCCTCATGAACTGTTTGTACTTTATGTGTATATTTATATATATCTGAAAGTAGTCACTAAGATTATGGGCTCCAAGGAGGAACTTGATTTAATCCTGACCTCTGTTACCCAATCTCAAGTCATTCATCTAGAATTTCCCCCCACTTGGTGTCGGCTCCTCATCGTGGAAGTAGCGGTCTGTGCTGCTGTGTAACTGCTGCTGATTGAAAATATTGTCTCTGGTAGATAGCAGTGTGTTCTGATTTTATAGTTCTGTGCCCTAAATGATGGAGACATTTCCCAAAAATGTGTGCTAAATGGGAAGGGGGAAGGAATATGTAACGGTATTAATGAGAAACCTGAAAGAAACTGACAGGTGGACCACCTGGATGGGCAAGCCGTTCCATTTATTAAGGTTGAACATTTGGTTGTACTTTTGGAAAACGATAATAAGAGACTCACCTGTATGTTCCTAATTGTTTTTTCAGTGAGAACAATCGGTTCTGCCATTTGCCTCATTTCCCAATTGAACACAGTGTGCGCCACTTGGTGCTCATGAACTCCACATGCCTGCCCTCCTTAGAGAGCTGGCACGGGGAAGGTTTGATGACAATGGTCTGTGCCACTCTAATGGCTTTATCAGCCATCCCAAACTCCCACTTACTATGGCGGCAGCCTCCTAACCAAAAGATTCTCTAGCCTTCTGCTCCATTTAAGTCTTTTTCTCCTTTATTAGTAAGGGAGATTTTTGGCATGTGTTTTGCTCCAAATTTAGTCAGGAACTATTTTCTGTTTAGCAAATAGAAAGTTGGAGACATTCACTGTTTTTGCATGGCTGAGTCACTGCTAGCTTTGAGCAGGCCAGGCTGGGTCATCTGTCCCTAAGGCAGGCCTACCCCTGCAAACGTATGTGAGGCCCTAAAGCAGGTCCTGAGATCACTTGGGCCCTCAAAGCTTATACTTAAAGTATGTGCTGGGCAGGGGGTTCCTGCTTTAGCCTTTACTTTTTAAAGTGGACAGACATTGCCTTGGGGCCCTACAAATGGGTGGTGAAAATGGCAGTCATAAAGACTATCCAGTTCCCGTATTAGCATCTTCCTTATTAATCATGGCGTAAAGAGAATGAAAGCTCTAAATAGTCGAGAAAAGGGAAGGTTATCTGAGGTGGGGAAGGGAGACTATCAGAGCTGAATCAGTGTCTGGCTCTTGAATCCATCCCTTTTTGCCCTTTTCTGTCAATGGGGATTGAATTTCTTTAGTAAGAATGAGATTCCATCTTAGCACATGCTCATTTGTCCAGCTAGGAGTCTAAGCCAAAGGGTAGTGCCAGGTGGGCTTGCACACATCACATTTCTAGAAAAATCTCAGTAACCTTAGTTAATGCTGAATACTGTGTCCTTAAGATAAGCTTTTCATTTCTGTTGTCTTTATCTTTAACAATTACATTTTTCAGGGAGTGTGCTTTTCATAGAGTTATTGTATGGATAACTAAGCTGTAGAACCAAATCTTGTATAATTTATATAATTTGATTCAATTAGTAAATATTTATTGACTGTCTACTCAAGTGTAGCCTTATAGGGGGAGTCAGAGTGTGTGTACAACCTAAAGAAAAAGATCATGATGCCCCTTCTGCCCTCACAGGGCTGACGGCTTATTGGATTGTATGGTGGAGAAACTTCATTCTAATCCAGATAACAAAGATGTACGAACATTTACCAACTCATCAATTTTTTTCATCAACTGTTTATTTCATTGTTTCATTCATTTCCTCAACAAATATTTATTGAGCTCTTGTTTAGGTGTTTGCTATAGGCAGCATTATTCAAGTGACTATTGGTGAGAAAATATTATTCTCCTTGTGAGCGGCTGGTAGTAATGTTGGTGTTTCAGTCCTTTAGGCCATCATCTCAGTTCAGTTACAGAGGTTGCTGCAAGTGGTGGGGACTAGAATGTAGTGCATTTCAAAACAAATTAAGATGCACATGCTGATTGTCTTTGGTTGACCCCACCAGGCTAGTAGTTCTTAGCAGCAATATCTGGATACCAGTGTTAAAAAAAAAAGATACCAGGGTTAGGGCCAGGGCTTTAGGGTTTTTATGACCCCATTCCAGCGATAAGGCAACAAACAGAGACAGGACTGGAGTTGCTCAGAGATGGGGCTCTGCAGACCCTGTGGGGGTCTGAGGGGCCTTGCTAGTGACAAACCTTTGCAGTACAACCCCTGCCCCAGGGTGTGGCTGAGGTGCTCTCATAGGTGGGGGCTCCTAAGCTGCACTCAGGTACTTCAGTTGCTGGGTTAGATTTGGTTCTGAACCCACTGTCAAGCTCTCCATGGACTAAGACTGCAGGGTCTCCTTCATTGGCACCGCCCTCCAAGGCCCCAGGTCTCTGGTACTTCTTTGCAAAACTAACTGCTAGTGATTGGTTGTAAGAGACACTAACATTTTATTGCTTTTCATAGTAGAAGTAGCATCATTACTGTATTTTTTCTGCACTAATTTAAAAACTCAACTGCAAGTATGTGTTGAGTTGTTTAAAATAGGAAACCTGGCACATCTCACAAAAGAGGGCGTTTCCAGAACAACGTGGGGTCCATGGGTTGCTCTGAGCAGCCCTGTGTTTAGGAGCAAATCTGTCCTTCTCACATTAAGGCTGCATATGCCTGCAGAAATCAGGCCAGGAATAACAAATGAGCTAAATAAACACATTTTCAAAAAAGTTAGTTTCTATTTTCCTTCATTGATATGACTTCAATTTTATTTTCTATTAAATAATTTAATTTTATTTCTTTCTTTGATATGACTTTAATTTTATTTTCTATAACCTTTACCAGATCCTGACACCAAATCCTGGAAGTACTAAGAGATACGCTTCTTTAAGTGATGATGGCTGCAGTTTCCACAAATGTCATTAGTTTGTCAGGATCTTTTAAGGTGAAGAGGTTTAGAGACATTTTACAAAGTGACTAGGTGTTTGGGTACTTACCCACCCAAGAGTTTGAGGTTTTCCCATCACTGCCACTTATCTGAACTACCACAAAATAACAACATGGAGTCCCAGGAAGAACCACATACTTCAAGCCTTCTTAAGATTAAACGCTACAAACCCACCCATCGGCTGTCAGGTACAACTAGTCAGAAAGGGCCAGGCTAGAAGGAATATTGCTCTATCTGTGGAGGCCTTGCCACAGATGTTCAGCCTGTAATTCTAGGTTGTGCTTAGCATTTAAAATACTAATTTAATTTCTTTGCTTAAGTAATGGATGTAAGATGGTTCATCAGATCAATATGAAGAATGATGAAAAATAAATATGTCAGAATAGAGGGCAAA